AGTGCTGGAATTAGAATCCAGACAGTCTTGTTCCAGAACTCATGCTCTAAATCAGGATGGTGTGAAATAACCCAGGAAGCCTTGAATGATGGTAAGCAAGTGACATTAGTCCTGGATATGAGTAGTGGTTGCCTATATAAAATGGAGGTAGAATCAGTAGGGTTTGATGCTTGATTACATTAACAGGCTATGGAAAATTAAATCATTTAACTGTTAAATTTTTGGCTTGGGAGCCGGGCGGTTGTGGCGCACACCTTTAATCCCAGCACTCGGGAGGCAGAGCCAGGCGGATCTCTGTGAGTTCGAGGCCAGCCTAGGCTACCAAGTGAGTTCCAGGAAAAGGTGCAAAGCTACACAGAGAAACCCTGTCTCGAAAAACAAAAAAACAAAAAAAACAAAAAAAACAAAACAAAACAAAACAAAAAAAATCCCACAGGAGGAAGCTGTGGTCACATTTTAGCCGGGCGGTGGTGGCGCACGCCTTTAATCCCAGCACTTGGGAGGCAGAGCCAGGCGGATCTCTGTGAGTTCGAGGCCAGCCTGGACTACCAAGTGAGTTCCAGGAAAGGCGCAAAGCTACACAGAGAAACCCTGTCTCGAAAAACCAAAAAAAAAAAAAAAAAAAAATTTTGGCTTGGTATTTTTGTTGGGCGGATATGCTTCCTTGAAACTGTGATCTTAAGGAGATGGCTGATTATTGTGGGCAGGTAGATGATGATAGAAATCGTGTGTTTAGTGGGTACCCAAACTCCAGCTCAGTCCTTCCACAACAGCTGATAGGTTGTCAGGTCCACATCCCCATCTTCCTGCCAGTCACCCTAGCCACCACCTTACCGAGCACCTGCACATTGTTTGGAGTCTAACCAGAATTTCCATTGAACTGAGACAACTTTAGATACTCCATTCTCTAACAAAAGCAGAGTGACCAGGAGACTGAATACCAATAAGCTGAAACAAAATGTAACAGGTCGGAATAACACCAAACAATGATCCAGACAACTACTCAACACCAAGAAGACATGATTCCAGATGCCTAGACTCAGTGCCAAAATAAAAACAACATGAATAACCAAGACAACATGTCTCGTTCAGAAATGAGCATCACCAGCGTATTGATCTGTGAGTAAAGCAGCTTAGCCAGTTCATAGGACAATGATTTCAGAACAGCGATTCTAAATGTATTCAAGGAGCTCAGAGAAGATAGGAACAATTGCCTGAATGGCGACTATGAAAACACCAACAGTTGAATTAAATGATGAAAACAATTTAAGCTATTAAAATGGAATTTAATAAAAAGATAAACGGTTTCTAAAGAAAGTCAAAATGAAATAAAACTCAAAATGAAAAGCTCAGGAAGTCAAAGAGCTCAGAGGAAAATATCACTAACAGATTGGATTACGTGGACGAGAGCCTATCATGTCTCAAAAACAAGGTAAGAGATATGGATAATTAAGTCAAAGAAAATATTAAATATAAAAAACAACAACTCAGAAATGCAACATGAAAGAAACCTATAAATGGGAACCCATAACAAAGTCAAACCTACAAATAATAATATACAAGGAGAAGAAAAGCAGGTCAAAGATACAAAAATGTTACCAATAAAATCATAGGAGAAAATTTCTCAAATCAAAAGAAAAAGATACTTATTAAGGTATAAGAGACATACAAAACACCAAACACAAAGGTTCAGAAAAGGAACTTTCCATGCCACATAATAATCAAAGCTCTAATATATAGAAAAAAAGAAAGGATATTGAGGAGAGAGAGAGAGAGTCATATATGTGGGCAGGCCCATCAGAGTAACATCTAACTTTCATTGGTAATTTTGAAACCCAGAAGAGCTTGGACTGATGTGCTTTACAAGTTCTTCATGGTCACAGATGCCAGCCCAGACTACTATATACAGCTGAACTATCAGTCATAATCAAAGAAGAAAAACTTTCTCTCTAACTACCTCCTCTCTAATTCATGCCCTTTTCTTTTATATTTATTTTGTTGTATTTACATGTATGCTGCTACCATAAATGCTGAACAATGTAAATTTCCTTTTCTTTGTATGTGACATATATGATAAAGCATCACTAAGGCAAAATGGTGGCCAGACCAGCCAAAACTAGTTAAAGTAGGAATTGTATTAACATCACTTGTGACTTTACTATTTTAAGTGCACTTAGTTACATGCATCCATTATTACAGATTTCTAGTCAGTGATTCTGCAGACTTGGTTCAATTACACTAAAAGTCTGTCATTAGTAGCTCCTTGCATATAGATATTTAGTATGTTAAGTCTTTTTACCTGCAAGTCATTTTATGGGTGCAGAGGATTTCATGATTGCACCCAATTATTTGCTTTCCCTCTCTAGGAAGCCTATAAAGATTGGTCCTGGTACTCCTTTCCAAATCCACATCAAGTTTTGGTTACATGACTTGTTTTGGTCAATGTAAGTATAAATAATATATTTCTTGTTCCTGTAAAATATGTTAAGAGCCATCTTGTGGGTGGGTTCACAATTGCTTCTCTTTCTTCTGTCTCAAGAACAGAATATATAAGCTGGACAGAAAGTTCTTCTATAGCCTAAACCCAATACACGAATAGATCAAGCTGTAGACAGCCCACAGCTGATGGAAACAGCAGATCAAGATTGGGTTGGGGTGATAGGTTCCTACAATATTTTTTAACTGTTGCCAAAGCAGAAACTGATTAATATCAGAAGATTCTTCAAGCTTTCTAAGCTTGATGATGTTCTTCTTGGGGCTCCTTTTTTGTTTCTAGTTACTAAAAAAGTACATTTTATCCTTTCCTAAATTATTAACTTGCAGAACTTGTGTTAATGGTTTAATAGGTTTAGAATAGCATCATTCTCTGTAGAAATTATTATAATTGAGCTTTAAAAAAATCCATAAAGTCTTATCACCTCTACTAATAAGTCAGGTTCCTTTCTAATTGAACATTAAAATTTTAATTTCTGGAATTTAAAATTCAGATTAGGTATGTAGTTATATATAGTAATGTTTTTGTGCTTTGTTCTTATGTTCATTTGCAGGGGGGTTTGGTGGTTTTGTCTGAAAGTTTAACCAATGTACTGAGAATATTGTATGCTAGGAGTATAACAGATACATTCAGACTCATTGAGTACCCCAGGGCTGTATTAGATGTTTCCAAAGCTATCATCATATTGAATTGTTCTAATGAAACTAATTTTGGGATGTCAGCAATGAATTTGTTAAAAAAAAAATGACACAGCAGATTTGGGAACATACCTCTGTTGTAAAGTTCTTGCATTTGCAAGCACCAAGGCCTGAGTTTGATCCCTAGAACCCATGTGAAAACAACAACAACAACAACAGCAACAACAACAACAAAACAAAAACCAAACCAAACTAACCAACCAACCAACCAACCAAACACAAACCAAAATCAAGAGGAACTTGTAATCTCAGTACTGGGGAAGCAGAGACAGGATGATGCTGGGGGCTTTCTGTCCAGCCAGCCCAGCCTAGCCTACTTGGTGAGTAGTAGGCCAATGAGAGATACTGAATTAAACAAAACCAAACTATTAGGGATGATACCTGACAGACCACATGTGAGGCTGGGTTTTGAATATGTGAGTGCATACACACACACACACACACACACACACACACACACACACACACACACACACTCACGCACATGTGTATCTCTCTGACATGTGTACCTCTCCATGTAAACACACTCACACATGCACACATATAATACCAACAGTGACCACATTAGGCAACTGTGCTTGGAAGAAAGAACTTGCTTTCTCAGGATGGATAATTGAAACCTTTGATGATCTGCTTCTAAACTTAATGGCTTTGCTTTTATTTGTCATTATTAAATGCTTTGAGTAAGTAAGCTTTTGCATGTGGGCCTTACTAATGTCTATGAAGGTGTTGCCTGGCTATTGACGGGTTCAACCCCAGGCTTCAGGAGAGGTTCTTGTTCTCCAGACACCTGCTCATTGGAGGACCTTTCCAAGGAGCAGGGAACATGTCATCAAGCCATGGGGGAGATGCTCCAGGAGACTTAGGAATGTGCTGTTCTTTAACACTTGAGTCTGGAGTCAATGGACTGTCATCTTCATCACTTAAGGTGAAAAACATGGAAGTATCTAAGGTTCCTGGAATTGGGAAGAATATTCCACCTTTGAATCATAGCAAGGATGAGGAGTGAAGAAGGATTGAACTTGCATAATTTCCAAAAGAAACAAACACATAAAATGCTTTTCGTAATTATGAAGTCAACTGTATCTCATTTCTTTTAATTTTTTATTATTATGTGATTACATACAAAATTTGTAAGAACTGATATTTCTAATATGAGAGAACATTTCAAATAAGAAGCTTTATTTAACAAGTTTTAGATTGCTGAAGTAAATTTGATTCGACACTTCATTTCATCTATGTTTAAAAATAAATCATACTAGGTGAAGAATATCAGTGATCATGGAAAGAATAATATTTACTAATTGGCATTTTCAATTCTGAAATTCCTGGTAAGATAGATGGTGATAAGGGGCAGGTAAAACATGGGGGGTTGATATTACCTTTGCTTCTTACATATCTGTGTTTCTGCAACTAACTCATGACCATTAATTTGAAAATTATTTATTAGATCTAGTGAAATGGAAAGCATTCAAGATAGCTTCCAATGACTGCTGAATCTCAGTGCTCATGCCCCTATGGAACATCCTCCTTTTACATGTGGCGAGATTAACCTACTTCTTTCTTTTTGTTTATTTTTGAGATTGTAGTTTAATTACAATGTTTCCCCTTTCCTCCTTCCAAGCCCTCCCATATATCCCACCCTGTTCCCCTTCAAATTCATGGTCTCTTTTTTTCATTAATTGTTACATACATATATATTATACACACATTATATATTGTTATATACACACATATTATATATTCATATGTATATTTATATATTTGTATATACATGTATATTCCTAAATACAGCCTATTGAGTTATCTTATGAAAGGCTGGAACTTCCATTGAGCAAGAAAATGTCCTGGATAGAAGCTTGCTCTTCAAGCCAGGCAATCATGAAAAGCCAAAGGTCAAGCTTGTGTGCGCTGCCCTATGGAAGAACATGCATAACAAGTGACTGAAGGAAGCCTCTGCCAACATCTGGAAATAGTTTCTATCACCAGCAATGTAAGTAGGCTTGGCAATGGGTCTTTCGCCAGTTGTCTTCAGATGAGTTTAGTCCATCCTATGTGGGAGTTGGGAACAGAAAAACTCAGTGAAGTTGCACCTGAAAACTGTGGGATAAACGTGTAAGCCACCAAATTTTCTTAAAAAGTGCTATTCTTCTGTCAGTGGTTTCACTGGGAATACCCCAATTCTGTTTGGGGTATAACCCATTATCATTCTAATCTAGTTATACTTGAAAATATTTTAATGAAATAGTATACATATTTGTTTTCGGATGCTATGCAATAACGGGGATCAATGATAAGGGAAAATGTTTTCTTTCCCTCTGATGTGAAATGCACACTTGACCTTTCACCCCAATGGCTGTGAAAGGAAAAAGAAAACAGATCACAACTAAAAGGTTCGGATCAAATCCCTGGAAACTCTCCAAGTGGTAATTATCCTAACACTTCCCTTCCTCTAGAAACCATGAACCTGTATTTAAAATTACTGTTGCGTAGAGCAGGCAGCCAACACATTTTCCTCTTCTTTTATTCTCCCTCCCCTTAAGAAGAACAAGGGGTTTTCCTAATGTTTTATTTCAGGTGAGTGTGTGTGTGTGTGTGTGTGTGTGTGTGTGTGTGTGTTGTTTTGTAATACATGTAATACAGAGAAATAATCGATTGAATCTTTCTGGTGTTCTAAGACTAGAAGGAAAACCATCTTTAATTTAATTTAATTCAGACTGGGTGTAACTCTTCGCATTCTGTATTTAGGAAAACAGCCATTTAACTCTCTGAAAGCACACGTGAAACATCTGCTTACACTGTTGGTTGTGTATGTTTATGTTTTACAATTTAGCACTATATCATCATATTCCACATCAGGAAACAGAGAGATTGTTATGTACATTGCTAAAATGGTGGCTCTTCCTCTGGGTCATATGCCTCATGTTCCAAGTCTGGCCCTGCACTTGCCAGTATCCTGCATTCACTCAACTTTCAATTTAAGAGAAGTTTTTTCCTTTCTATGTGAGCCACAGAGCTCAGGCTAAGAATCAGTTCCTTCAAAAACTTTTGCTTAAGTTTTTGCATATGTTTTTTAATGGACATGGTATTAGATCATGTGATCATCTCTCTTTCTTCCCTTAAGCCCCTCCCAGCTACTGACCTAAACTCTCCCACGCCCCCACTCTCTTTTTCTTTAATTATTATTACTTACATATACGTGTTTGTGTAGGTATCTGTGTATGTGTGTGTATGCACAAATATCTAAAATATCTTACATTTATTCTCCCTTGTGGTTTTTCATTGCTTACTTATTAGTTCATGAATTAGTTTGGACATACAAATATCCACCACCTAACTTGTCAGAACCATTGTAGACAAAGCTCATATCTTTTTACTTAGTTATTTTCTGTAGATTAAATATAATGAGTAATAATGTTTGTATTTTAGACCACAGAAAATTAAGAAAATAAATATGTTGGGGTCGGGAAATCTATTTCCTTGAAATGACTCTTCAGATTTAAAAGGACAGGTGGGTGAATGAGCTTTCCCTGGGATCATAGGGAAAAAGCAACAGCTATTATCCTATATGCCCCTAGCAATCTCTCCTTTTATCCTCCAAACTGTCTCCTTAACTTGGTTCACTGATTTCTGGGACAATTCGCATTATTTAAAAATGCATTCTTACTCAGTGTTTTTCTGAGAACGTACCATGTTGGATTTGAAGACTATCGAATTTTAGTCTAGTTCTGAGCCTTTCCTTCTTTTTTCCTTAATGCAGATTTGATTTGAAATATTGATAATTTCCTACATGATTACAGTATTCATATTATTTCCACCCCCTCCTCACTCTAACACCTCCCCTTGTCTATCCCAAATTTTTCTTTTTAATTTTGAAGAGTCATTCAAATCCATGGCTTCTTTAATTTTTTTTTTTTTTTTTTTTTTTTGGTTTTTCGAGACAGGGTTTCTCTGTGTAGCTTTGCGCCTTTCCTGGAACTCGCTTTGGAGACCAGGCTGGCCTCGAACTCCCAGAGATCCGCCTGGCTCTGCCTCCCGAGTGCTGGGATTAAAGGCGTGCGCCACCACCGCCCGGCGGCTTCTTTAATTTTTGTTGTCAAGCACATATTAAATTAATTAATCTGAATAAAACAGACAGAATATTCTGGGAAGATTAGTAAGTTTGGATGCAAAACTAGTTCTAGATTTCGAAGAAAATATGATTGGAACCCCCAGCACAGCCTAATAAATAGGAACATTATTTTACCCTTGGATGTGATTGGAGGAAAGTCATTCTCCCAAACATAGCAGATGTTATTATGCTCCTAAAATTCATTTCTATTTTTTTCCTCTTTCCCCCACTGGTATTTATGGACTTTGCAAAGCTCTGGAGCTGCCCCCGAGGGCACAGCCTGCACTGCAGCTTTCTCTGTCAGCACCTGAGAGTAAAGTGGAAGAAGCCCAGAGCGTTCTCCACGGTAGGTCCTTGATTTGCATTAAATTTCCAGATTTTACAGACCAAAGAGAAGTATTTCTTCCCATCCATCTCTGGAGAATTATGGGACTACAGAGGAGTCTTTGCACACGATCAGACCATGAAATTGGAAGGCGTGTTAAACATACTTGGACTTCAGACAGCTTTTCTAGGAATGTTGCCCTGGCAGAGGCAAGGTATTTTCTTCAGATTTATTAGGCAGGAGAGAAAAGTGTATTTTAATGTTACCCCTGGCTCCGTAAGTTATTTTTCTTTATCTGCTACAGAGGAAAATAATTAAATTATTGATGTTTGTTGGCTCATATGTACAGCTGCGATTTCATTTATATTGTTCATATGCCCAGTGAACATATTCCAGAGTTCAAGGAAATCAGTGACTCAGGGCTCCTGATGTATTAGCTTGCACAGCAATGCCAATGTTCGTTCCCTCTAAGGAAAGTGCTATGGGACTTATTTTATCTGCTGCCAACCTAACATTGAAGTGTGTTTTTTTTTTTTCAGGGTTTGAAAATTCTCTTTCTAGGATTGCTTTAGAAATTATGTTGATCATTAGTTACTGTCTCTCTGTTAATGTAGAAAAGTAAGTGTGAATTCTTGTGTGTCAATGTGCAACCTGGGATAATGGTCGTCTCAGAAAGGAAGGACAGACACAAGCTTTTGGACAGCCATGTTCTAAATACAGTGTTGAAAAAGATCCAGTTCCTCTACTCCACATTTCAGCTGGACCCTTCCTGTTGAGTCAGGAGGCTCCAACAGAGAGTCTATGATATCCTGGCTATGGTAAGATATTGTGGAATGTGGTACTTGGCATCATTTTAATGAATTTTCATTATCTGCACTTCAGGTGTTTCCACATTAAGTTTCAAAGATTTAAAGGATTTTTTTAAAAGACACAATTAATAATATCTTCTGTTGAAGTAAGATTAGGGAATGTGCATTCTGGAAACATCATAACAAAAAATAAATGAAATGTTAAGTATGTTTTTTGGTGCTCCTTTAATGGACAGAGAGTTTAGGCATGATTCCGCATCTATTGTGATATTGGTGAGAAAGGCAGCATAGAGTGTTGGTTTCCATGGATGGCCATTCATTTCACTTTGCTGTCTTGACACTTCAACAGAATGCTAACTAAGAGGCAGAATACTCTCTGATCAGAGTCCTCTCTCTGAGGAGTTTCTGGGAAGCCACTGATGCAATAATCCAGGACAAATCCTTTGTCCTTTTGATGAGATCAGTGCGAAAATACATTTCTCATATTATTGCAAAACCTTTGAATAACACTGATTTGCAGTGTAAAATTTGGAGATTACATTAACCTTGGCTGGGGACAGCCTGATGCTCTGAGAAAGTTGTTTACCTTTCTGGTCCCTAAGGCAGGTCGTTCCAGAACAGGGCATCCAAAAAAACGCCCCAGCAGCCTGCAGGGTTCTGTTTTCATCAGTGAATCCTTTAAGCCTTTCAAGTCCCTAGTCAGATATGAACCAAAGATTAAAACAGGCCAAGGGAGAAAACTCTGAACAGTGTATGTCCCCTGACAAAACTATTTCTGATGCATCAATGATAGCAACCCACTGACCACATTGTTTCATTCCTAAAAAAGTGGATGACTTTAGCCAATCCTCAGTGTGTGTGTGTGTGTGTGTGTGTGTGTGTGTGTGTGTGTGTGTGTGTGTGTATTTCAAACCAGCACATATACTATAAATTGTTGTTTTATCTTTGGCACAGCAGTTGCCCTGAACCTACCTCTGCCTCAGCGGCTGACTGCACTTCTGCAGCGGCCATCTCTGCCCCTGCTTCATCCACTTTTACGTAGGGAAGCAAGTATTGTTTTGGACTAAGTCTCTATCTTTTTATCTTTTATCTTTTTATTTTTACCAACAAATAAAATCTCTAGCTCACAGAGGCAGAGAAAGCAGCCAGCTGACCTTTCTCCTCTGCCACTGTCCCAGAGTCCCAGAAAGAGGGCTCTCTCCTACTGTCTGAAACACTAACTCCTCCGGCTGGATGTCCTGCCCTTCTACTTCCTGTGCCTTTCTCTCTCCCACCTCCTGATTTCCCCCAACTCTCTATGGTTACTTCCAGTCAACAGGTTGCTTGCTCGGCCTCTTGACCTATGATTGATTTTAATTTAAATAACGTAATCTAGAGGTTACAGTGTGATTAAATATCCCACAGCAATAAACGCATAATTTTTGCTATAACTAACTAGGCTTTGTCAGTTAGAGAAATTTATTAGTCAATTTCAATGTAAAATTATTTCGGGGTTTCGTATTAAAGACTGAAGATTAAATGGCTAAATAGTTCATTTTGAAGTTATTATAGGACGTACATTGCTCTATAATTCTTAAGCAAATGTCACATCTCTTAATGAACATAAGGAACTAGGCAGTGAATATATTTCTTGGTTTATTGCTTCACACAACAAGATGAGAGATGACGGTTGGCCAGAGGGAAAGCTCAGGCCTTGACTGCTGTGGCCAACAGCAGCACATGTGTTCTCCTTTTGTTCACTGGGTCAGAAAAACCTAACAAAATACAGTTTTAGTGTGCACAGCCTCCTCAGTGTCCTCTCACTGCCATCTACACAAATGCTTTAGTGTTTTAGTGGTGAGTAAATTCAGCCACAGTTGACTTTGGAGGCTTTGGCGTACCTTTTCCATACAGAGAGGACTCACACAGAATCCCAAAGCCTGGAGTCTCGCCAGTTGCCTTTATCCAAGTGTTTCCTTTCTTCTTTGGAAGATGATAGGCTTTAATCAGCTCTAAATTTGCTTTGCAATTAATTTAGAATTTCTTCTTATTCCAATAGACTGAAAGATATACATGTGCGTGCATGTACACATACACATGCACAATATACAGGTATTACACACAGTATGAATACAATATATGGATTAGTTTATAAATCTTTACTACTTCTGGATATGTTGTCATTATTAAGATTACTTATGGACAAAGTCAACACCAAGAGAGTCAGATGTATAGATAAAAGAAATGAATATTTAATAAAATAATCTGGAAACTAATTCTTCATTTGCAGGAGCCATTGGCTATCTGTAATTCTTCATAGGTATGGGACTGTGTGGAATTTATTTTTTTCTCATTGGCATGTCAGCTGGTATTGTCTAATGATTGGCCTTGTTCAGGAATTATCCCTGGACACATGTACATATGAGCAATACTAAACGGGCTCAATAGGTTGTTTATACATGTATGTGTCTCTCTATCCTTCTCTGTCTATCTATCTATCTATCTATCTATCTATCTATCTATCTATCTATCTATCTGTCTGTCTGTCTGTCTGTCTGTCTGTCTGTCTGTCTGTCTGTCTGTCTCTCTCTCTCTGTCTGTCTGCTGTCTGTCTATCTATCTATCTATCTATCTATCTATCTATCTATTTATCTATCATCTACCTATCTATCTGACAATAATAATTAAAGAAGAGACCATGAATTTGGGAATGTGACACAGGAGAAGTTTGGGAAACATGGGAAGGGTGGGAGTAATATAGACACAATTTTAACGTATGAAATTCTATTTTTTTAATGAAGACTATGGAATTCTGTTGGGATATTTGAGTATTTGTGAAGATGTTGATGAGAGGAACTGGCATACCGTGGACCACACTTCACAGGTTCAGTTAGGATTGTATTTCCCATTAAAATAAATTCTGCATTTTGACTTACTTTTATTAGTAATAGTAATTTTTATTATTTTATTTGTCACCATCCCTGACATTCAGTTTTAATCCCAATTTTTCATAGTGTATACTAGATAGTTCTCTATTGGGACAGTACATAGAAGATTAGATGAACACAGTTTATACTAAGCACACTTCATGTGAAAATATATATGTATACACACAAATGTACAGCATTTCCAACTTTGTGTGCCTACTTCATCTTTTTCCCACTGCATCCATATCACTACTTTTAAACCTATTCACTCCTGGCAAAAACGATTTGGTGAAAGAAATATTTGATTTCTCTGCACAGCTTTAAGAAAACTTTCCAGAAAATAAAAGTTTAATCAATTTTTGTTCTTTATGAGAAAATTCCAATAATGAAAATGGCAGGTTTCCATAGCTACACATTATGTTTTCTACCTCTCACAAGTGCAAAGTCCTTAAACAAGAAGGGATGTAAATGGTTTTTATTAATATTCACATAATGCTACTTCTTACTCACAATAAACACATTAAAATTTAATCAACTCGTTGGCAAATGAATGCATCCAATATTAATTTTCTGATCATGCTGTTCATATTTGGATCTCTAGTCTGATACGTCTTTTTCTGCTTAGAGGGAAAAAAAATGCCTGCATTTAATATTGTGTTAGTGCTTTATTTTCACAGCCCAATATCTCATAGAACATTAGTTCCCACAAATATAATTAAAGTGGTTTTACACTTTATACATATTATGCTTCTTGTACAGTGCTATGAATTATAATTAATATATTACATAAATTTAAATAAGTCAAATAGTAAATATATTTAGACACTCAAACTACTTTAAATTGCAGTGAAACTTTTATATGTCTCTGAAATGCTAGATTGTTGGTTATTAGTGGGTTTATAAGTTATATTGATACTAAAAAATGTGAATCTTTTCATCAAAGATTATGACTATGGCTCTTACTTGGAGACAAATATGTTTCCTAGTCCTGAGGTCCTTTGCTAATGTCTAAAAACATTTTTTTTGACTTTCACACTGGGGTGGGTAGAAGTTGGTAGTAGAATCTAATGGGCAGAAGGCCATGGATGTATGTAAGCACTGTACAATGCACAGAGCAGCTGTTCACCAAAAACATCCAGGGTATGATTGTTGTTATGCTTGAGAAATTGTGACCTTGGGCAATAGCTTTTTGTTTTTTTGTTTTTTGTTTTGCTTTTTTTTTTTTTTTTTTATAAATTAGGCATCTAAATACATTAGGTGCTTTCTATCACCAAGGAACCCTAAATGTCCATCCTTTGATTTTATAATCAAATGTATCATTGATAGTATATGATTTTTAACTTAATAATTGTTCAAGGATGAAAATGTAGAAAATTTTAAAAAAATCAGTAGAAATAAAAATATCACAATAATGCTTTCTTTGTACTAACAAAGCCAACTTATTTTCAACTACAATTTCTTCCAAGGTTCATTTGGTCAGCTTGAGTAGATATTTAAAAGAAAAATAAGCCATGGAATTACATGACAGGCTTTTCAAGATTCAGTTTTATTACTAAGAGAAATGCATTAGAATACCAGTCCTCATACTGGGAAGAGCTGTCAACACTGAAAAGGTCATGTGTTTATAACTTAATCATTCTAGGAAATTCTAAAACAAAATTCATTTCTCTCCCCCCAAAAAATTAATGGATATACTAAAACACAAATTATCTTAAAAATTTTATTGATTGTTCTGATTGATCTTTCTTGGTATGAACTTGGAGTAAAAATTACTTTTAAACAATCCTGGTGATAAGTTTGAGGTAAACACTACCGACTTACTTAAGTCACTAGTCAAATGATGTGGTGGGATGGGTATACTTTTCCTGCTACAGGGTTCTTGTCATGATACCACTCAGAGTGTTACCTAGTGCAGTCCCTGTCATTAGTTGATCTCTGGAAACACCAGTGATTTCAGCATGAACAACGAGTTTTCCAGCCTGAATCTGCAACAAATATACCTATGTTGGCCAGGGTGTAGCTCATGGGTGGAGAGCTTGTCAAGTACTCACAAGGGAAAAAACAACACATTCAGAAGACGCTCCTTACAAGAAGAAACGGTATCAGGAGACATTGCCTATTAAAAAAATCTTGGCATAAGCCAACTGTAGGTATTGAGTTTTTAACATCTTAAATATGAAGAATATTGGTAAGGCCTCTGTTTGCTTAAGACCAAGAAACGTTGTGCAGAATGCAGGCCCCCACGGCAGCTTGTCTCACACAGCCTTGACATACTTTTCCCGGTCCTGTGTGCTATGAAATGGGTCCCTCCACTTACTTGACATTACTCACAGACAAGCAGTGGGGCTCACTCAAATTGTGTGGTCTCGAATCTCTTTGAGAATGTTTAACCATCTTAGCATATTCCTTTTGTTCTCCCTGACCATCTCTTTGGAAATATGCCTGATCTATTAATTCATCTATCAGTCTGTCTGTCTGTCTATGCATCTATCTATTTATGTATCTATCTATTTATGTATGTATGTATCTATCTATCATCTATCTATCTATCTATCTATCTATCTATCTATCTATCTATGTATCTATTTATCTATCAGTCATCTATTTTCATCTGGGTAAAGTATAACTGAAAGTAGGTCAGAAAATAACAGATTATATGTGGTTATTTCATCAGAAATATATGTTCCATATCTTCACTCAAGAGCTTTTTTTTTATTGCCGGAGGCTTTGCGACTAGTCGACAAATAAGGCTGCCACCAATCTAATGGTCTCCATATCTCACTACTGTCTGTAATGCTGTTCTCATGTGGGGAAGCAGTAAGTACTTGTGGCTCTTCTTTTTTTTTCTGTTTTTCTTTATTCTTCTCTCATACAATACATCGCGAATAAACACAACCTCCCTACCCTTCACTACTCCTAGTTCCCACCCCCTATATCTCTCCTCTCTCCCAGATACACCCCTCCTCTCTTGCCCTTCAGAAAATAGCCAGCCTTCCAGTGATATCAAATGAACATCACATAACAAGGTGCAATAAGACTAGGCACAAACCCTCACATCAAGGCCTGACAAGGCAACCCAGTAGGAGGAAAAGGGTCCCACAAGCAGGCAAAGAGTCAGGGACATCCTCACTTCCCCTACTGGGGTCCCACAAGAACATCAATCTAAACCAACCCAGCATGTATACAGAGGACCTAGCACAGACCCATGCAGGTTCCATAACTGTTGCTTCAGTCTCTGTGAGCCCCCATGAGCTCTGCTTTGTGGTGGTGGTATTGTGTTCCCCCAAATATTGTGCACCCTAATAAACTTCTCTGGGGTCAGAGAACAGAACAGCCACTAGATATAGAGGCCAGCAAATGGTGGAACACACACCTTTAATCCTAGCATTCCAGAGGCAGAGAGCCATCTGGATCTCTGTGAGTTCAAGGCCACACTGGAAACAGCCAGGCATGGGTAACAAGAGCCTTTAATCCCAGGAAGTGATGGCAGAAAGCAGAAAGTTATATAAGGCGTGAGGATGAGGAACTAGAGCTGGTTAAGCTTTTAGGCTTTCAGCAGCAGTTCAGCTGAGATCCATTTGGATGAGGACTCAAAGGATTTCAGTCTGAGGAAACAGGATTAGCTGAGAAACTGGTGAGGTGAGGTGGCTATGGCTGGTTCTGCTTCTCTGATTTTCCAACATTCACCCCAATATCTGGCCTCGGGTTTGATTTTATTAATAAGACCCTTTAGAGCTTCGTGCTACACTGCTTAGTTGAATTCTGTAGGTCTTGTTCTCCTGGTGTCCTCAACTGCTCTGCCTCCTACAATCCTTCCTCCCCATCTTCTACAGGGTTCCTGGAGCTCGGCCTAATGTATAGCAGATTGTCATTAGGAATCATTTCATCAACTGGTTTTTTTTTTTTTTTTTTTTTTTGGTCAGTCGTGTTTGGTACTGCCCTAGGTCTCTGAACCATCCAGCTTCCTGTTCCTGGCCATCCAGGCAGTTATTGGGCACAGGCTCTCTGTAGTGGTGTGGACCTCAAGATAGATGAGTCGTTGGTTGGCCACTCCCATAAACTCTGAGCCACCATTGCTCCAGCACACCTTGCAGGCAGGGCATATTGTGGGTTGAAGGCTTTATGCCTGGATTCATATCCCAATCCCACCTCTAAGAGCCTAGCCTGGTTACAGAAGATGGCCAGCTCAGGGTCCATGACCTCCATTACTAGGAGTCCTTGCTAGGGTCACCCTCATAGGTTCCAGGAAATTTCCACTGCTCTAGTTTCCTCATTGCTCCCTAAATGCCCACCAATTCCAGTCACCTCTCCCTGTACGTACTCTTTCCCTCCATCCCTCTCTACCCCACCTGATCCCTGCTGTTCTTATCTCCAACCTCCCCCAGTCTGCCCACAAAATCTATTGTATTTCCCCTTCCCAGAGAGATTCATGCGTCCCCCCTGGAGCCCTCCTGGTCACTTAGCCTTTCTGGGATTGTAGGATGTTTTCTTTATTGGACAGCCAATATATACATATAAGTGAGTACATCTCATGTTTGTCTTTCTGGGTCTGGGTTGCCTCACTCAGGATGACTTTATCTAGTTCCATCCATTTGTCTGCACTTCCCAATACACAGCAGCAGTCCACTCACCTTCAAGATCCAGAGTCCTCTCTAATTACATTCACCCTAAATCAAACACATTGTCATTTCCACCCAAAACTGCCTTCCCATCTTATTTCCCACCAAAATCCATGGATTCCCCTAGTTTCTAAGAACTGTAGAAAAGTCTACAAACATATGTCAATATTAACTCACAACTCAATCGTGTTTCTCAGACCATTACAATTTTAACCACTAGCGAATAAAAACAAAGGTATTTTTTTTTTACATGGACTTGTGGTGATGTTCTCTTGCTGATTACTCATGCCAGTGTGCTATTCATCTACTACGTAAAATAAAAATTAGGACAAACATCATTGGTAAAGAGAATCTGTAGATCTTTAAATTGCCCAAATAATCCTTATTTGGTGGTATAAGGAAGCAAGAAATTTAAATTAAGAACTTGCGAAGAAACTTTCAGTTGAAAAACTAGTGAGAGTAAAATACACTTAGTAACAATACTTGATACTAGACCAGGATAGCTTTCTGTTTTGTGACTTGAAATACACCCTGAGATTACAGTAGACAGATGAGTTTAATAGTACTTTAAACATTTGAAAAGACAGGCATACAAGTCTATGGTTTGCAGACTCATACAACACATTGAAAAGAGTTAGGGCATAAATCCAGGTTTAAAAATTACAGTTTATTGTCTCACCTGCTTAACTCTAATGCCTCTCATCTTTGGGGAAAAGAGGGCAGACTTCGTGTGAATTAATGGTTGTTATTATTGGTAATAGTCCTAGTAGATCGTTGCTCATATGCTCTGGTCCCTTGTGGTCTTTATGGCTGTCCTTCCTGTGCTTGGGATGTTCTCAGCTTCCTGTACCCTCACTTCCTTCTGCTAACCCATATTCTTTTGTCTTCAGGTCCCACTACCAACAATCTCTTCTGCAGGGATGCTTTTTCCTGCAGGTTATTTCAGTTCAGATGTTTATCATTGATAGTAACTGTATCTTTTATACCCACCCCCGCCCCAATACATCACAGTGTTGTTCTAAAACTTGCCTTTGCATACCTATTTGTTTAAGGACATTGTTTACCTTAGAGTATAGAAGAGTAGGTGAGCAAGGCTTGATGATTTTTTGTCCTTTTATATCTGCAGGAAACAGAAAGCCTCTTACATGATACAAATATTGACTCCACTCTGGTGTACGATGTTTGCATAGCAAGAGGATATTTGAAAGGAAACTGTATATAAAAAGCAAAATGCTATCACATTGCTACAACAGGCTAAAATGCACTTCTGAATGCTTTAAAACTAAAGAGGAATATCGTGAATCCCTTCTGCTGAAGTTTCTCTCGATCCAAGCCTAAATTCTTCCTGATATTTTCTTACATTACTCAACAGTCAGTGGTATAGCATGCTTATTACAGGATTTGCAGTTATATACTTTCCTGAAAATTATGATGACTGAGTCCTGAGTCCTGGGTGCTTCTGTGGTATGGGGCACTAAATGAAGCGTTTAATGGAAACTAGGGAAGATGTCGTCCTTAGCATTAAACTGCTCTCTGTGAATGCATTTTGTGGTTGAGCTGTTTTTATTAAACATCTGCTTCTCTGGAAATGGACAGTGTCTGCTAGCAAAGAGGAAAAGAGAGTCAGGCAAGAATTTTCAAAAACAATGATGAGCTGATTGCTTCGAGTAGCTCAACCTGACACGATGGTATAATTTCCATGATTTGCCTTTGATTTCTTTCACTCTGCTGCAATAAGTTACCACAAACACTACCTGGACTTAGTGAAGAAGAAGAAGAAGAAGGAGAAGGAGGAGGAGGAGGAGGAGGAGGAGGAGGAGGAGGAGGAGGAGGAGGAGGAGGAGGAGGAGAAGAAGAAGAAGAAGAAGAAGAAGAAGAAGAAGAAGAAGAAGAAGAAGAAGAAGAAGAAGAAGAAGCAGCAGCTCACATTTCTAAAGACTGAGACATCTGAGGTCAGAGTGACAGCAGGGGTGTGTTCCTGGAGACTCCTCTTCCTGCTTGGCAGATGACCACCCTCTGCTATATTATCACAGAGTGGAAAGTATACACGTAGAGAGAAAAGAATCAAGTCCTCGTGTTGTTTTCTCATGAGGATTCCATTCTCACAACCTTCATGTTGTGCTATGTTTCTGAAACACCCCCACAGTCCCATTTTGAAGATTTGTTGCCCAAATGGTGGTGCTCTTTGAAGATGCTGTAGATACTTCTGGAGACAGGGCCGAGCTGGTCTAGTTGGGAGAGCATGGGAAGGTTATCTCTGGCCCCACTTTTGGCTTTGCTTTCTGCTTTCTTACCCACCATGATGAGAACAAAGACCACCATTTGTTTCCACAGCTGAACCTCTCTGGCCACGATGGAATGAAATCTTCCAAATCCGTGAACTCAAATAAATCTTTCTGTCCTTAAAATGTTTCTGTTTGTATCTTAGCCACACTGATGCAAAAGAAATTAACATGCATGATTCCTGGAGACTCCAAATACTATCACAGCGAGAATCAGATTTTCAACACACACACACACACACACACACACACACACACACACACACACACACACACATTCAGACCATAGATACATTAGTACAGTTTCTTCGAATGAAGAAAAAAACAAGTTATTTTTCCAGTTGACCTAATTTAGAATGACTTTGGGTGTCTGTTTAGTGTTTACTATGTGTCAGACACCAGGTCATGGTGATAGAAAGATTAAAATAAAATCCCTAGTCTTTAGTGAGCTCACAGACAGTGCCAGACATCGAATGATGCTGTTTGAGAAATGAGTGTGCATGAGGAGGGCACAAAAGATCATGGGACTTAGATGAGAAGTCTGATTTTTCTAAAAGAAGGAATCCTTAAACACCCCAAACAGTAAACAAGAATTGGTTGTATCTACTTTCTCTCTCTAATCATGGTTTGTAATTATGCATTGCATTGGGATAATTATTTGATTAATGTTTGTGCCTACCACTTAGATAAGAAGTTTCATGACATCAGGCTAACATATTTTTCTTCCCACTTTATTTCCAGCATTCACAATGATGTTTGGTACACAGGAAATTGCCACATTTTCTCTCTGAGAAAATAAATTCATCTGTATATTTACTTTGTTTAACTATTTGACATGATCTACTAAAGCCTAATGCACTATATCTCACTCCCACAAATGCATCCAACAAAGACAGCTGTATATGTTCATCTGAAAAGTTCACGGTAGTAGGATTTGTAATCCTTTTAATAATTATCTCTATTTAATGATACATCTACAATGAGGATGGATCAAATATCTCTTAACCATGGAATTATTAAATTATGGCTTATTTATACAGCGTCATCAATAAATGGACAAAACTCATGTGAAACAATGGATATATTTTAAAAATATATTAGGCCAAGAAGCCAGGCACAAAAGAAGACATGGTTAAGTTTAGAGACAGCATCAACATAGGCAATATTAACCAGTAGTTCTAGAGGTTAGGACAATGGTTACCTTAAGAAAAGGGATTTTCTGGAGGGTGGGGGTGTGTACCCAGTTGTAGTGTGAACATTTTGGTTGTTTTCTGGAAGCACAGGTGCCTTCACTCTGAAAATAGATCTTTATGAGTATTCTCTATCCTTCATATTTCAGCAGAGGCTTATTTATAAAACAAGAGAATACTTGGAGTTGCTCACTCCTAACTGTATGCAGATTGGAAAGGGCCAACAAGAGGAAAGGGGAACTTTGATGTGATGCTTTTCTGAGGTGGTGAGTAGGGATGAGGTAAGCTTCCTTCCTTTAGGACAGCAAAGGGATAGCAATGTTTTTGGTCTGTCAAGATTTCCCCTTTATTTTGAATCCTTAATTCTAAATGGTTTTGACCCCTTTGAGCAGTTCAGATTTGCCTCAGGCATTTACAAAATAATGAAAATTGCTTTACTATCACGTTTGTTGGAAAGGTTGTGAGTGGTTCTGGAAAAGGCTCTGGAGGGTTGTGCTCTTGGTCTCATCACCTTTATAGTGGATAGTAACAAGACACGTGATGTTTTCCTTTTCCTCTTCTTGTGCCGTGCGTATGAGGAGAGAGACCTGACTGAGAATCTCTAGTACTGGCACTTCTAATAGAATTGAGTACAGAATAAGTACACTCTCTGCATGGAATTAAGCTCTAATAAGGCTCCGATGCACACTAGAAGAAATCTATTATGTTCTAACAACTTGATTATTCTCTCATGGGAGTGTGAGTGCCCTGCGTCTTGTGTCTCCTCGCTGTTCCTGCTTGATGGTTTTGTCTTGCTGTCACACGTTTGCCTCTGGATTGTTCTCACGCCCTCTTCAAGTTTCACTTAGCTGAAGCTATAGGGGTGCTCTCTGTCAGAACTGGGTCAAATGAGGCTGACTTCTTTGAAATAATCATACGATATGGTTTGCAGAGAATTTAAAGACAAAGTTTGCAGAGGAAGTGAAAGCTACGCTTAGGAATTTGAGCTAGCTATAAATCATTTGAGAATTATGAAAGTGTGTAGGTACACAAACTTCTTTTCTTTGAGGTATTTGTAAGAAATATTTCTTTGTGACTGCCCTGTCTTGACTGGTGGGGGAGTGAGGTTAGGTTCTACAGATGACTTCACAGAGTCTCAGAGATGAAGTGAGTAGTTGAAAACTAAATAACGAGAAAAACAGTTCAACTCACCTCTTTTGTCATAGAGCTAACATTTATTCAATAGTCATATATATATATATGTATATATATATATCTCATACTGATTTCCTTCCTTCCTTCCTTCCTTCCTTCCTTCCTTCCTTCCTTCCTCCTTCTCTCCCTTCTTATCTTGTTTCATTGTTTTCCTTCTTTCATTAGCTATCCTATTTAATAATCCTTTCTAAGAAAACACAAGATATGATGCCTACATGTGTTGGACAAGTTCTTGCCAATGCTTAACATCCAACTTAACCCTATGTCTTTATGAATCTTTAAAATGTAAAGTTACTGCAAATCTTAACTTCTTTCTTTTGTGCACATTCCAAAATTTATACACTGCCTACCATTAATTAACGGTTGCATAGCACAACTGTTTTGTGACATGTTCCTGACTGACATTTCCAAGATAAGGCTTCTGAGAAGAAATACTATACTTGTGCTTCCTAGTAAATACTTCCTATTTATTCATGACAGATCGGCAAGTCTTACCATGTGGAGAAAAAAAAAATAATGACCTCAAGTTAATTTCAACAAACTTTAGAAGGAGGCTTTTTTTACAGTAAGTCACTTCTTGGTTGGAGTCTATAAGTAAGATAGCTTGATAAAGTAGAATTAAACCCCAACCCAACTTTGCTCCGGAAGATGAAATAAAAAAAGGGGAACTAAAGAATTATAAGTAGTTTCATCATTTAGGTAAACAAATAGTTTTTCTTCCATTATTTGGAGTTTAACCATCAATACTTGCGCGCATGCAAGAATTAAGGTGTGCATCATTAGTGGATGAACTGACTTGGTTACAAAGTTCTTGACTGGATAGTTTTATAACTTCTATAATTTATAACCAAATGCTACCGTTATGGAGCTTTAGCTATTTCTTTTTTTGTCTTCTTTTAAACTAAGAAATATATAATGTCAACTAACCATCAACGGAGGCAATTTATTTTAATGGCAGGTGACACTTTTTGTAATTATACCACTTCATTCCTATGGAAAAAATATGACTTGGAATGTAAAATATCAACATTACACTTTATTTTGATTTTCTAAAAATAGTTTTCACTTTTAAAAAAGTTCATTATACCGAAATACGTATGAAAAGATGCTTTTATTTTTGTTTGACTTTTCTAGTGAAGTCCTATGGCTAAACCAGGATCTATCTCTCTGTCTATCTGTCTGTCCACACACACACACACACACACACACACACACACACACACACACACACACACACACGCAACAAATTGTACGTGTTTGATGGAAGTTTAGGTGGAAGTTTAATTTCATGATCCAAAATCTACAGCTATTGTAGAAGCCTCTTATCACAACAAAGCCATCTATGGCCATAATTGAAATCAGACAAGGACAGAATGGAAATATAGATTCTCTAAGAGGACAAGAGATATTTGATTAGTAGTTAATAAAGTCAGAAAGATATAAGTCCTGAGACCAATCACCAGCAGGCAGAAATGATCAGGGCTTGACTCAATCGGGATACTAAGATGCTGGGCTTCAATTCTTGAATCTCATTTTCTCACAACTATCTTGCTGTGTCAATGTTATTACACATCCCTGTTTGCCAAGAATCTTCTCTTTATTGCCTCTTCTTATTTTCTTCATTGAAGTTCTTTCATCAGCACAGGAAACAGCCCAGAAGAGGAGACAGAAAGGATATAAGAGCCAGCGGATCTGGAGGAATGCTATAAAATGCAACTTCTGGAATTGACATTCCTATGACACTCATGAACTCACACTAGCTGCATAAGATCAATACAGCTGAAGTTCTTGCATAGACAGGGAGGTGCCCCCCAGGCCTATCCTCTATGGAGGAGCTACTGCCAATGAAGTGAAATCAGTACCTAGAGGAGGTATTTGCACTTCAATAGTTACTTCAACATCATTCATAAGAGGTAAGGCAAGGAATGCACGTTTCTATGACTAAAACAATTGATGAAAAATGTTGTAAGTACACATAATGAGGGAAGACTTTAACTGGGAAGTAAGCAGAATAATATAGAAGGGGACTGAGGCAGGAGAGTTAAATAACAGGAAGGAAAGTTGAACAAGCCATAGAGGAACATAATATTTTATCAGCTTACTTAAAAGTG